CCAGCAGATGCCTCACACATACATGGGGCCATCGCCGCAGCAGCAGTGGATGGCTCAGCAGGCAGCGGCGGCGGCGGCCCAGGGGCCCATGGCGGGCACGGCCAGTGCGGGGCCTGCTGCTGGCACCATGGGGCCCTCCGCGGCGGCAGCGGCCCATCCAGGGCCTGCGACGGCAGCGCCCCCGCCAGGGGCAGCCGAGCCTGCGATGAGGGGCCCCGGGGTGCCAGGCCCACCGCCACAGATGCAGCCAGCACAGACGGCACAGGATGCGGCAAAAGATCAACAGATGATGCAGATGATGAACCTCATCACCGATATGAACCAGAGGCAGCAGAGGCAGGAGGGTATCGTGTCGTCCATGCTGAACTGGATTCACTATCAAGCTACGACGGGGCCTACCACGCCAGCAGAGTCAGCGAGACCTACGGCAGCGGTGGGGTTTACAGCAGGGGCGGCTGGTGGGCCGCCGAGTGGCAAGCCAGATGGTGCGGAACCGTCGACTCCAACAGGCCATGGGACGACAAGAGGGGTTCCGTCGCCATCCCAGGTGGGAGGCGCGGCGACGCCAAAGGCTGGCACGCCACCACAGCCGACCCCTACCTCAGTACAGCCAGGACAAAGGACGCCGCCAGGACGGAGCCAGCCAATTATCATCACATCCCCGACGGTGCCAGCCTCAGCGGAGCCACCTGCTTGGGTGCCTACGCAGCCTCTTCAGCCACCGCCACCAGTGGCACCAGCATCGCCGATGACACCCGCGGAGCCAGTGCATGGAGGCATGACGCAGGAAGGCCCGTACTTGGCGGCTGCAGCTCCAACAGAATCGTTGACGGCAGCGAAGCAGGAGATCAAGGAAGAGCACCTGAGCGCGAGCCAGATCGACAGGGAAGTCACGCGCATCGAGGCAGCCTGCGCGGGAGTGCAGGGGAACGGGGATTCAGCCCCCACAGCCAGCGCAGCGGACGGCTCGGACGCAGACACCCGCAGCCCAGCCCCGAAGATCGCCAAGAAGGGAGCGGCAGCGGGCGGGGCATAGCGGCACCTGCACACCGAGAAGAGCAACACTCCCCTCATCAACGGCAGCGGGGTCATGCAGCTGAAGATCAGGTGAGTAGTAGAGTGAAGGCTTCGGGGCTTAGAAGAGTTCACTTTGATTTTTCAGAACATCCTTTGGCCAAGCCGGGTGAACAGACCTGGCGGGAATCTTCTCAGGTTTCATCCCAGGGTGAAAGCACTTCGGGAACGCGTTCGATTTTAAGGTGTGGGGATTTTCTATCCAGGGCAAGTAGAGAACAATGCTTGCACAATAACATTCAATTAAATTGCAGGGCTGACCAGCTGATTGCCGACAAGACACGTCGCGATTTGGGGCAGCAGACATCGACATCAAGGGGGAATAGCTCTGACCCGTGTGGTGTGGCAGCTGAGAGGACGAGCTCTGGGCCTGGTGAGTGCAGGGATGTTGCGTTCCCCAGAAGTTCTAGCCTGTCGAATCCACCCCCATGTTTGATTTGAGTCAGGAAGCTGGGCCCACGATTGTGCAGCTAGCACGCCAGGGGAGAGGGGCCTTCCAGCATCTGAGCGTGCAAGAACTTCTGGACACGAACCTGCTCGAGCAGGAGGCTGCGACACTCTTGCGCAGCTACCCGTGGTGCGGCGACGTCGCCGACGCCACGAGCATCCACTTTTTCACGGACGGCTCGCACTATCCACAAGGGGAGGGGATGGGAGCATGGGCTGTGGTAAGGATTTTGTATAAAGGGGATGAGTGCATGTTGGGAGGAGTTATGAGGGGAAGTTTGACTGAGTCAAATGCTATGGGTCTCACGCCAGCGTGTGCCACGAGCACGACTTTAGAATGCCTGGCCGTGCTTCAAGCTTTGTTTTGGGTCCTCGCAGAGCGCCCGACTTGCCAGGTTACAGTCGACAGTGACTCGACGGGGGCGATACGGGCGGCAGAGGGCGCGAGCCTCCCAGCGTCGGGTAGAGATATAGCCCAGCTTGTGGGGGTGGTTTGGGAGCTCACGGCCCGAGAGGCCAACTTGAGCATAAGCCATGTGAAGGCCCATTGCGGCCATCCAGCCAATATATTGGCCGACAACGTGGCTAAAGCTACGGCGAGAAAGCTCCTGGCCCCTCCCCCAGAAACCCCGAGAAGCTGGGTCCAGGCTGTTGACTTCAACAACGTACGCCTGTGGGAATGGCTGCCTGGTGATCAGGACGGCCATGCCTACCCACAGGTCAACTTTCTGCGTAATGAATTTGAGGTGAGAGGCGAGATGCCCACGTGCGTCGCCAAGGCCGATGAGCCAGGAGCCGACCCTGCCCCACCGATGAGAAATGTGGCGGTTACGGTGGATCTCACGGTCGCCACGTTCAACACTCAGTCAATTCGGAACGTCTTTCGCCGTGGAGTGAAGGGGCGCAACAGAGCGCGAAGAGCAGCCGCGCTTCGGTCTCAGCTGACCCTGTCTGGAGTGCACATAGTGGGGATTCAAGAGGGCAGAAACGAGAAAAGTACTAAGCGAGCTGGCGACTGGTGTTGCATTTCGGCGGGTCACGAGAATTACGGACTAGGAGTGGAGCTCTGGCTGAACGTCAGCATTCCCTACGGAAGAGCTAGAGGCAAGCCTGTTTGTTTCTGCATGCAGCATGTGCGAGTGGTTTTTGCCGCGCCGCGAATCCTCATGGCAAGGATCGAAGCACCTGGTGTGAGCATGCACGTGTTGGTGGCGCACGCGCCCCACTCAGCCAACACTCCTGCCACCAAAGCCGCTTTCTGGGCTAAAATGCGTGAGGTGTGTGAAAAATGGACGCCCAGCCTGTGTTTTGTGGATGGCAATTGCCATCTTGCTGGAGGCCCAGGGACCGGGGGGGCTGGGTGTAAAGGGGCGAAAGGCACGTGCTCGGCGGGGAGTTTCAAAATGTTGGAGTGGTTGGGGGACTTCAGGTTGAAAGCTGCTAACACGTTCCTCGGGGATGAGAACGACTACACGTTCCTGGACAATAAAACGAAGAGTAAGCATAGGATTGATTTCTTAGTGGTCAATAAGCAACTTTTTCAGTCCATGGGGGAGGTTAGGGTTCAGCACCACATCGACCTCATCAGAAAAAGTGAGGACCACTTCCCTGTGTTAGGCAGGTTGCGATGGCAGGTACAGACGTCTCGGGCTGCAGGCCACGGGGCCAACCTTGACTGCAACAAGATGCAGCAGGAGGCAGCGCGCAAGATTTTTAAAGAAAAAGTTGCTGCCATTGAGTTACCATGCTGGCAATATGACATGCATGCTCAGCTGCAGGAAGCCAATCGACAAGTGCTCGATGCAGCGAAGTTGGCCTTTGCGAAACCAGCTGTACGCCCACGCAAAGAGTACATTCAGGGGCCCACGTTCTGGTTGATCAGGCTAAGGAGGCTCATCCAGAAAACGATGCATGCTGTGAAGCACAGAGGGGGCTTGGAGAAGCATGTGGGCAGGTTGTTTTACGTGGCCCAGAGCATCAGAAAAGGTGATGTTTACAAGGAGGGGGTTAGCGCGAAAAGTTTTGAGGGGGACATGTGGGGGGGAGCTCGAGGCGATCTGGACACGCCTGGTACTGCAGGCTGGCTTTTTTTCTTGGAGGCAAGTCTCAGCTGAAGAGTGGACTTTGACCTTGGCGTGGTTTCTAGCTGCGTCTAAGCAGCTGCTGCTAGATGCGCTTGATCGAGATTATTCGGCACACTTAGAGGACAATGCGCATCTGATCAACACAAGCAATGAGGGAAACTTGTCTCGGCGAGAATGGAAGATAGCTAGACGTCTTCTGCTCCATGGGGGCAAAAGGCACCGTCAGCCACTTGTTTTTCCAATGAGAAGCGACCCCGAAGGCAGACCCCTCATAACACCACAAGATGATGCGAATGACCTCCAGAGGCACTTCGGGCATATCGAAAGGGCGATTGAAGCGTCGGAGTCTGATATTATTGCCAAGTACAACGACCGAGGCACGTTGCTGGAGGCTCGTGCTGAGAGGAAGCTTGATAATTTGATGTCTCGCGACAAGTTGAAGAGAGCCTTTAGCCAGCTGCCAACAGGCAAAGCCCCAGGACCCGATAAGGTGCCGAACGACCTCTTTAAAATCGACCCTGGCGGCATGGCTAGGGCGTATTTTCCTGTTGTGTTGAAGTGCGGGGTTTCTGGTCGGGAACCCTTGGAGATGAAAAGGGGGGAGGTCGTTTCCTTTTTTAAAGGAAAAGGAGAGATGGAGAAGGCGGTCGCCCAGCGTAGCATTCTGCTTGCCAATGCGCTGGCGAAGGTTCATCATAAATTCTTGAGGGGACGTGTGTGGGGGGTGTTGCTGAAATGCATGCACACTACTCAATGTGGGGGCTTGCAGGGCAAGAGCACAGATATGGCGAGCCACTTTGTGCGCACTCGTTTTCGAGTGCAGAAGAGGATGAAGCTGTCCACCATTGGCATGTTTTTAGATCTTACCGCCGCTTTCTACTCGGTGGTGAAGCAGTTTATTTTGAGGCTCCCAGGGGGGGGGGGGAGGATCTGAAAGCTGCCCTGGATACCGTTCAAATCCCTGAGGCCCTTTTCTCCGCGACCATGGCCCTTGAGGGCCAACCCATTCTTGAAAATATGGTTGAAGATCAGCACCTTCTTGAATTGGTGCGCGACACGAAGGCCGGGGCTTTTTGGAAGGTCAGACATGCAACATCATATGTGCGCCCGACTCTGGGCACGCGCCCAGGCACGGTGTTTGCCACCGACGACTTTAACGTCGCATTTGCTCCAATCATCCTTCTGATAGAAGAAGGAATGCAGCAGTCGGAGATTGATTGGAAGCCGCCTGAAGTTGAGAAACGATTCTCTGACGAGTCCCACTGGCAGGAGGGCCATAACTCGGTTGCGTTTGTTGACGACCTCACTTTAGTGGGAGCGATCAAGAAGGCGGAAGATGTGCACATGAAAGCTGCCCATCTTAGTTGACTTAGTTTTCGAAGCTGTGTCGAGGTTTGGACTTCAGCTGAATGCGAGTAAAACGTATCTTATGTTGGCCCTGGTGGGCCCTGGCTCCCAGCTTGCGAAACGGAAGGTCGCCATGGAGGGAGGAGGAGATTTTGTGCAGTCCCCTAAGCATGCCATCAAGGTTGCCATCGTCAAGCAAATGAAGGGGCCGGGGACGATGATCATGGAAGATGGGGGGATGGGGGCTGAGGTTCAGCTCAGGACGGGAGTGCTTCGCAAGGAACTTAGACCCATCCAAGTGGCCCTGGGGAAAAGGAAAGTTTTGTCTGTGTCCACTCGGGTCAAGTACGCGGATGCCTTTGCGGTATCCAAACTTTGGTTTAATTCGACGATTTGGGACCCCATGGGGGCTCGGCTTCATGCTAGGCTTGCCGCGGCTCAGGCTGCCGCTTACAGAGCTGCTTTGGGGATGCCGCTGAGAGGAAATGATGAAGACCACCAATCCCACGCCAGCGTTCTGGCCAAAGTTGGACGGCTTGGTCACAGAGCCATCCTTAGGGTGGCTAGGCTGCGCTATTTGGCGCGCCTCCTGTCCTGTGCGCCGAGTGGGCTGCTTGTTGCATTGGGCACTCTCTGGGGGGACGAGAAGGGATGGACGGCCGAGCTGAAAACCGATTTCGATTGGCTTAACTCTCGCCTGGACAAACAGAGAATTCCTGGACAGGGGGGGGGCCATGGACTGGATTCGCGCGGCTCGGAGCTGCCGCGAACCCTTTTATGCTGGAGTGCGTGAAGCTGCTGAGAGAGAGCTGCACGTGCAGCTTGAAAAGCAGAAGAATGTTGAATTTGGCAAGCGTCTCGAGGGTTTCGGTGTTCAACCCCAGGAAGAAACGGCTGAAGGCATTGAGGAAGCTGGAGGAGGCAACTCTGCGGCCCCGTGGTTTCTCTGCTATGAATGCGGATACCTTGCCAAAACTCCCAAAGGCCTTGCTATCCATAAGGGGAAGTTCCATAAAAACGCGGAGGATCCCAATGCGTGGGCTTGTGGTACAGTGTGCCAGATCTGTTGTTACCAGTTTCATAGCAACGGTCGGTTGGTTAAACATCTGAAGAGACAACCTGTGTGCGCCAAGACTTGGCATGGGCTGGGCAGGCCCGTCTCCAGTGCTGAAGTGGAGTCATGGAGACTCGACAGTTTGGCCAGCCAGAGCAAAAATCGGAAAGCTGGCAAACATGAGAATGTTGTGGAAAAGGCCGCCCACCCAGTTTACGGACCGCCGCTCGCGCTGAAAATTGCTGTTGACGATTCTCCCACGGTTGACGCTCCTGTGTGTCTGCTCGCCAGGCCCGCTGTGCAAGCGCCCGTTGGAAGACCCTCCAACGCCATGCTTCAGCCCTTTTTTCTCATTGTCAGCTCAGGAGAGAGGAAGGAGGAGGATTTTCAATGCCATATCGAGGCCAAGAGCTCGACTTTGAGTGTGCACGTTCAGTTCATCCATGTGTCTCACGTGGAATGGCTTGAGCAAGATGTAAAGAAATGGACGGATCTGATGGGGGATGGAAAATTAGGTGGAGGGTTTTTTGCTGTGCCTGGTCTGAGAGGGACCTTGGGGGCCCGTGTGAAACCTCCGAGGAATCGAGAGTGTGCCTGGGGCCGACCCAATTTGAACGCCAGAGAGCGAAATTGTGTCAAGGCCGAGAACAAATACTTGAGAGACTGTCTCGAGCTCGCCTGTGCGGCCGCCTTGCACAAGGTTCCATGGACTTCGATTGTACAGCGCGAAGTTGGACATGGTTGTAACATTCAGGATGTGCCCGAGGTTGCTCTGGCGGGAAAAAAGGAAGTGATGGCCTCGCACGTCCTTGATAGTTGCACGTTTGGACAGCACACTAGATGGGAACCGATTACCACATGGAGCGTGTCCTTAGACACCCTCGAAGGGGAGCTGAGGGAGAAAGGCTGGGGAGTCTGCAGGGGAGCGCACTCCCACATGGGACTTGACGGGAGAGCGCCAAACTGGCAGAGTGATTTGCACGCAGGGTTCTATCATGTGCTTGCGCCCGCTTTCACACATGAGTGGAGGAAAGGGTTGCTGTGCAGTGGTGCGGGTGAAGTGGTGAATGTGCTCGGGGGTGGATTCGAGTTCTGGAAGCCCTTGGACCCGTTCCCTGCATTGTAACGGCCCCCGCTCTCTTTTTTGCTGTTGGCCTCCGTGTTGGACTTGACCCCTGATGTCTAACTGCACGTGCCCTGCAGCCCTGCTCCGTAGGAGCGCTCTGTCCTTTTTCCCTTGCCCTGCACCCCACACCTAGGAGAGGCTTCGACTCGAACCGGCCTTTAGTTCCGACCGACCGACCGACCGAGGTGGAGGAGGAGGAGGAGGAGGAGGAGGAGGAGGAGGAGGAGGAGGAGGAGCAGGAGTTCTGCCTCTGGCGATGAACGCCTGCTCCGCAATTTGCCCGAACCCTCGGCCCTCCTACTGGTTCCCTTGAGCCCCCCTCCTTACCGCCCTCCTGCCGCCCCGCCGCCTGTAGGAGGAGGGCTTCGACGAGGTAAGGTACGTCTGGCAGAACGAGGAGGCGCGTGCCCAGCTCGACTGATCTCAGCACCCACAGCAGGATGAGGAGGCGGAGGAATCCGAGGAAGAAGAGGAGGAGGAGGAGGAGAACTATGATGATGATGATGATGATGATGCTGATGCTGATGCTGATGCTGATGCTGATGCTGATGCTGCTGATGATGATGATGATGATGATGATGATGATGATGATGATGATGATGATGATGATGCTGCTGCTGCTGCTGCTGCTGATGATGATGATGATGATGATATGATGATGATGATGATGATGATGATGATGATGATGATGATGATGATGAATGATGATGATGATGATGATGATGATGATGATGATGATGATGATGATGATGATGATGATGATGATGATGATGATGATGATGATGATGATGATGATGATGATGATGATGATGATGAGGAGGAGGAGGAGGAGGAGGAGGAGGTGGAAGAGGAGAGGACAGAGGAGGAGCAGGAGGAAGAGGCGGAGGAGGAGGAGTAGGAGGAGGAGGAGGAGGATGGTGAGGAAGAGGTGGAGGTGGAGGAGGAGCAGGAGGAGGTTGATCAAGACGGGAGGGAGGGGAAAGTAGAGAGATGAGGATGATGAGAGGGAGACCGATAGGCGTGAGGTTGTGGAGGATGACGAGGATGGCGTCACTGCAGTGAGGCATGTCCAGCAGGGCGATGGGGGCGCGGTCCAGGTCAGGCCCAATGCCGGAACGGGAAGGGCCCTCCATCTGTGAAGCTGTTGCGTGACTTCAGCGTTCTGGTCGTAAACGTTGCGCGGAAGTCGCGACCGAGAGGCCCATGTCGAGCACGCGCCGCCCTCCACCCGTGTGAGTGCTGCAAGCTCTGAAGAGACTTGTGCGCGGTGCTGATGCGAAAGGTGCCAAGCTGCTCTGCTGCGTGCAATAGGAACCTCACTATTGCAGCAGCACTCTGATGCCTGCCCGTGCTCCATCCTTTGTCGTTGTTGCATACATTTGCGACGTGAGTGCGCGGCGCTAAGGCGAGCACTATGATGTGAAAGCGACCCGCCTTGCTGCCATTTTGGCTCACGCTTTGCCCCCTCCCCCACTCCCAGCATCCTCGGCCTCTTCCTCGTCCTGGGCCCCTCCGCCTCGTCCTCCCGTCGTCTTCCTCCTCTCCCTCCTGTCTCCGCCCACCTCGGGCCTGCACCCAGAGTGTGGGGAGAGCGCGAAGACAGCCTCGAGTGCCTCTGGTTTGAAGGAGGCCTGCTAATGCAGGTTGTGCCCAGTTGCTTTGCGTGTTTTGCTGCCGCTTGCGGAGACGCCTGACCAGCAGAGGGTCCTCTGATGGGCAGACAGGTCGAGATAGGGCGGATCTCGCTGAGGGAAACACGGGCCGCCGTCCTCTTCCCATGCTTCTCTTTTCTCCTCCGCCTCGACCCCAGGAGGAGGACGCGGCTCGTCGGGGAAGGAGATAAAAGAGGGAGCACCTTGGTGTCCCTTGCGCCCAACTTCTTGCTCCTCCTCCTCCTCCTCCTCCCTCCACCCTCCTCTGCTCTATATTCTTACCGCTTTTCCTCATCGGTGCCCCTTCCCTCCCCTCTCTCTCTCTCTCTTCCTCCTCTTCCCGCCTCCTCCCAGCCCTCCCTCCCGGCGAGCTCGCCCCGCTCAGGCCTGCGGCGAGTACCTGAAGAGCTGGATCACCGAGCGGAAGCTGCTGATGCGAGTGGAGGCCCCGCGGGCCGAGGAGGAGGAGGGGGAAGGGGGAGAGGGGGAGGGTGAGGGAGGAGCGAGCTGAGGAGGAGGAGGAGGGAGAGATGGAGGGGGAAGGGAGGGGAGAGAGAGAGGGGAGGAGATGGAGGGAGAGATGGAGGGGGAGGGGGAGGGGAGGGCGAGGGGAGGGGGAGAAGGAGGGAGACCGGTGCAAGCGCAAGACGCATCAGCGATGTTGGAAATACACGCCTCCCTCCGTGCTCCCTCTTCATCGACACCTACGAGGGTTCATTTCCACTGAGGGAAGGGCGCCGTTGGGAGACAACCGTCTGGCGATCCCGAAACGTGCCGAAACATTATTCTCGGGACTCCAACGCCGTGAATCAGTGTGACTGCTGCGTGTTGACGATCCTGACCCGTGCTAGACACCACCAGTCCTGGGACTCCGCCACCGCGTGTCAACGTAGCTGTTGCGCCCTGACTTTTTGTGACCCTTGCGAAAACCCATTTCGTGGTACGTTATTCATCAAAGCGAATGTGCGTGGCGCTAGCGCGAGAGCCACATTTTGAAAACGATCCGCCCTCAGTCCGTGAAGCTCTTGCGAATATTTGAGACGACTGTGTGCTACGCCAAGGCGGAGCCATTTTTGAAAACCACCCGCCCTCAATTTGTGAAGCTCTGGCAAATTTTGGAAAACGGGTGTGCGCGGCGCAAAGGCGAAAACCACATTTTGAAAACCGCCCGGCTTCCATTTATGACACCGTTGCCAACTTTTAAGCTACAGTATCATCAAGGGTAAGGTAGTTTCAGGCGAAACGCCCGACCTTCCCTTCTGACTGGCCTCGGGGTGCGACTCGGAGGATTTATCTATGAGGAAAGGGATTGAGGAGGAGATGGAGGAGGAGGAGGAAGAGGAGGAGGAGGAGAACGAGGAGGACCAGTGCAAACCCAACACTCATCAACGATGTTGGGATATACCCTCCCTCCAAGCTCCCTCTTCATAGGCCCCTACAAGGGTTCATCTCCACTAAGGGTTTTTCCCCGTTGGGGACAAACGCGTGGAAATCTTGAATCGTGCTAAAACACCATTCTCAGGACTCCAACGCCACGAGTCAACCTGACTGTTGCGTCCTGGCAATCCTGAAACGTGCCGGGACACCTTTCCTGGGGCTTCAGCACCGCGAATCATTGTAATTGTTGCGCCCTGGCAATCCTGATTTTTTTCAGCACGTCATTTCTGACACGCTAACCATGAGAGGCAGTGACTTTCGTACATGCTTTCCGAATGAATGCGTGCGGGTCTAAGGCGAGAGCCACATTTTGAAAAGGTGTCGGCCTCAATCCGTGAACACTTTGTACTTTTTTAGGCGACTGCGCGACGCTAAGGCAAGAGCCTTGTTTAAAACATGACCTGCCCTTAATCCGTGAAGCTCTAGCATGTAAAACAACGAACGTGCGCGGCGCTGAGGCGGGAACCACATTTTGAAGACGACCCGCCCTCAATCCGTGAAACTTTTGCAAATATTTGAGACGAGTGCGCGCGGCGTTAAGGCGAAAACAACATTTTGAGAACGACCCGCCCACAATCCGTGAAGCTCATGCAACCTTTTAAACACGAATGTGCGTGGCGCTAAGCCGCTAAGGCGAGAACTACATTTTGAAAGCCACCCGCCCTCAGTCCGTGAAGCTGTTGCCAGTTTCGAAACTTCAGGCCCATGAATGGTAAGGAAGTCTCAGGCGACACGCCTGGCCCGCCCGTCCGACAGGCCTCGGGGTGTGACAGGGATGAGTGACTCATAGGGAAAATGACTCGAGGAGGAGGAAGAGGACTCGAGGAGGACTCGAGGAGGAGGAGGAGGAAGAGCAGGAGGAGCAGGAGGAATAATAATGAGAACGAGAAGGAGGAGGAGGAGGAGGAGGAGGAGGAGGAGGAGGAGGAGGAGGAGGAGGAGGAGGAGGAGAAGAGGAGGAGGAGGAGGAGGGAGGAGGAGGAGGAGGAGGGAGGAATCCGTTGCTCCAGGGGCGGGACTCGCCTCGACGCATGGGCGGGGGGGTCCGCAGGGGGGCAATGGGGTGCGACAGGCCAGGCGCGGCGCCCGCCATGGCGCTGGGCAGCCATGCCCGTGGCCACGCGCGGACCCCGCGAGGACCGAGAGCAGGACTTCTCAAGTGCTCGCGACCGACCGACGCCCCCCCCCCCCCGCGGCCGCCCCCTCCGCGGCCGCCCCCTCCGCGGCCGCCTCCTCCGCGGCCGCCCCCTCCGCGGCCGCCCCCTCCACGGCCGACGCCGCCGCCCCGCCGAGGAGGCTCCTCCGCCGCCCCGGGACACCACCCGGCAGTGCTCCGCGCTGTTCGAGACCGACCCGCGAAATGCAGCGGGCACACAGTGGGGGCCCAGAGTGGGTTCATCATCGTGGGGCCCGTGATCCCAGGGCCGCGGCGAGGCGCCGACTGGCCTACGCGGCGCGGAAGGGCAAGGGCATCGCCGCGCTCACGGCCAAAGACTTGGCCTTGATCTTGGCCCCCAGCCCTCCGGGCAACCGACCCTCTCACGCCGAGGCCGCTGCCAACACTGGGACGAGTACCCTCAACAGGCACGCCCTAGAGTTCGCCCCCGCCAGGGGCAACCGCCACGCGCCGTACGACCCGCCCTGGTGTTGGTCAACGCCGGCGCCTGCGACGCCGCCAGCGGTGGAAGCAGGAGAGAGCGGAACCCCCAGCTACTACGCGGAGTCCCCTGGCCGCTACGTGGAGTGCCCCACTGGCGGCTGGCAGCCACCTGGAGCATCTGTGGGAGCAGCTGGTGCTGCGACCGGCATGAGTACGCCCGCGGCGCCGCGGCGCCAGTGTCGGCGAAAATTCCTAGGGGAGCAGCGGCCGCTTCCGTTACGCCCACGGGGTCAGTATTGGCGAGAGCTCTTAGGTGAGCAGCTGCTGCTACCGCCTGTGCTACGCCTTGAGGGTCAGCTCCGGCGAGAGCTCCGAGGGGAGCAGCCGCGGCGGCCGGAGGGGCCAGCACCGGCGAGAGGTCCAAGGGGTCAGCACAGGCGAGAGCTCCGAGGAGGAGGAGGAGGAGGAGGAGGGGGGGGAGGAGGAGGAGGAGGAGGAGGAGGAGGAGGAGGAGGAGGAGGAGGAGGAGGGGAGGAGGAGGAGGAGGAGGAGGAGGGGGGTGGGAGGATGCAGGGGGAGGGCCAGTGAAGGGAAGGGGTTGTGCTCTGCGCCAGACCTCCCCCCGCAGGGCGCTCGCCCCTTCCCCCCCCTGCGCGCAGGACCTGAACCCCGGCCAGTGGTTCAAGGAGACCCGCGCGGCCTTCCCGCCCTGCCCCTCCCGCCTCCCCCTTCGCTGCCCTCTCCTCCTGCTGCTCCTGTTCCTCCTCTGCTGCTTGCTGCTGCTGCTGTTCCTCTTCCTCCTATCCTCCTCCTCCTCTCCTCCTCCTCCTCCTTCCTCCACCTCCCTCTCTTCTTCCTGCTTCCCCTCCTCCTCCTCATGCTGCTCCTGCTCCTCCTCTAACCTGGGCGGAGCGGCGGGGCCTCGGTTTCCTCCCGCGTGTCGTGGCTCGGCCTCGATGCGCGCCGGTCGGCCCTGGCGCGCGCTGCAGGAAGGGCGGGGCCCTGGGAGTTAAGCTTTTTGACCTGGGCACGCAGCATTCTAGAGCGAGGATCACCCACCCATGAAGCACAGTACCAACCTCCTCCTCCTCCTCCTCCTCCTCCTCCTCCCTCCTCCTCCAAGGTCCTTCTCCTCCTCCTCCTCCTCCTCTTTCTTCCTCCTCCGAGGTCCTCCTCATCCTTCTCCTCTTCCCGTCCTCCTCGTGCCTGCCCCCCGTCACGCAGGGGCCCGCGGGCATCCGAGTGGGTCCCAGCCCCCCGTTGCGCAGGGGGATCCCAGGGCGCGCCACACGCGCAACCTGGGCCGGCCATGGCGCGAGGGCTGGCCAGTGGGCAGTCCTTGCCCATCTCGCGGGGCGGATCCCCTTAATCTGCTGAGGCTCGCCCCAGAGATCCAGCGTATTGAAAAAATCAAGACTGAGGTTTTTCGCCGTTTTCGGCCTCTCGAGGCACTCGCCTGGCCCCCAGAACCGCCAGCAAACGAGTCGGGATGAAAAACCGGTCCTGGGGAATGGGTCGAGACTTCAGGGGACCCCGTATTGCAAAATTCGCGACACGGGAGCTCTGGGTCAGTGCCCATGGTGGGCAGATGGAGGAACGAGGGTCGGACACACCGTGAGCTGTCGTGAGCGTCGTAGTCGACGCGTTCGCGGTCCCTGCTGTTGCCGTGGCCGTGGTCGGGGGCTGTCTGCAGGGAGCCGTCGACGGCTGTGGCCGCGCTCGAGGCGGCGGGCGTAGTGGTCGCGTTGCGGCGGTAGCGGCCCTGGGGAGCTGCAAGCTCGGGCACCCATCCTATCGCGAAGTGGCGCGCGCTTCGGGAAAAGGCCCTGCGGCGCCAGCTGTCTGAATCTTTTTTGGTACCCCCCCCGTCGCGATCGGGCGTGTCCTTCGGGAAGATGCCCCGCGGTGCCCGCCGCATACCTTTTTCATGTAGATCCTGGCCAAATCTGGACTGGGAAGACTCAATCGGATTAGTTTGAGACCCTGGGGAATATTGTTCTATGAGGCTCCAGTAGTTTTGTTTTTGCCAGTCAACGGTCTCATCGGACCAGGCGGGAATTGGCGCTGGACAAAAAGCCGATTCCCTCGTATCTTGCGGTCGTTGAAACGAAATCTGAATTCTTGCAGGAGCTTTTGATGAGGTGCGTTTTGAACGCTTCAAGCCGTAACGAGATGGAGGGCGGCCTGATTTCGAAATTTGGTCCTCGACCACGCCCCGTGCACAGTAAACGTGTTCGGGGCTCATGCGAGAGTCAAACGCTGGCCAGACGCGCTAGCATTTCCAGACAATTCATCACAATTATGACCAGACGTGCAATTATACGCAACGGCCGTACAGATTGAGGGCGGACTTTTTTGAACACGGTGCTCTCGCTGGACGCCTCCTCGAACTTTCTGTAAGCGCCCCCTCGCATTCCTCAGGTATGCAAGTTTTTTTTTGTTTTTTTTTTTTTGCTTTTGTTTGTTCTTCTTCTTTTTTTCTGGTTACTTTTATTGGTTGTTTTACTTTTGGGTGTTCACTGTTTCTTGTGATATATATATATATATGTATGTATGTATGTATGTATGTATGTATGTATGTATGTATGTATGTATGTATGTATGTATGTATGTATGTATGCATGCATGCATGCATGCATGCATGCATGCATGCATGCATGCATGCATGCATGTATGTAGGTTATTTCTTTCTGTATTGATTTTTTTCTTTCTCTCTATCTCTCTCCAACGTATGGGTTTCGCCTGAATGGCAGACCCACGGGGCGATTGTGACAAGGAGCACCTGCAGGGACTCGTGATGAGGAACCCTGGGGCGGGATTGCGCATGCCAGCACCGCTGACGCGTCCTGGGTTAACTCTGGGTCTCCTGTTCCTTTTTGTGTTCCTCCTCCTCCTCCTCCTCCTCCTCCTCCATCCCTCCTCTTCTATCCTTTCTCCTCCTCCTCCATCCCCTCTCCTCCTCGTCATCCCTCTCCTCACTCTCCGTGCGCCCGTGGAGTCTGGCCTCTACTCATTTGGAGGAGGCACCCCAAGGCCTCAAAGAAGAACCCAGTGTTTTTTGGAGCCCCAGTTCCCCCTGAAAGGGTGGTCCAGGGAGGCTTTCCTGGTCCAGCGTTCGGGTCGCCTTGGGCGAAGCCGACCCCCTCCGAAGCTGTGCGATGGTCCTCATCCTCCATCCCTGGCTTCCATCCCTCCTCCCTCCCCCGCCCTCCTTCCACCTCTCGAGGAAGAACACATGCCATACACAGACTTTTGGCGCTCCGCGCGGATTTCTTGGATCGGCACTTAGAGCCCCCGGTGGCGCCTCAGGCGCCGCCCCTGTCGCGCTCCGCGCGCCAGGGAGGGGGGCGCGCAGATCCAAGAAATCCGCGCGGAGCGCCAACAGTTTATGTGTATGGGGTTTTGTTGTTGTCGTTGTTGTTGTTGTTGTTGTCGTTGTTGTCGTTGTTGTTGTTGTCGTTGTCGTTGTCGTTGTCGTTGTCGTTGTTGTTGTTGTCGTCGTTGTCGTTGTCGTTGTCGTTATCGTTGTCGTTGTTGTTGTTGTTGTTGTTGTTGTTGTTGTTGTTGTCGTTGTGGTTGTGGTTGTTGTCGTTGGTGTCGTTGTTGCTGCTGCTGCTGTTGCTGTTGCTGTTGTTGTTGCTGTTGTGGTTGCTGCTGTTGAACATTATTACTTCTAAAGAATAATTATTGTTGGGACCCCTGGTGCACGACCCCCCTCCAAAACCTAGGCCGCAGCTACATTTTCATCATTTTTCTGCGAAAGCTTCAGAAAAGTGGATTGTCACCGGATCCGGTTTTTTGTTCCCCCCCGCTTTCCCTTGCAAAAAACACTATAAAATGAAATTTCTTGTCCAAATGTAATCAAATTTCAAGAATCCCTTGCAAAAAATAAGGTAAAGTGGACATTCGCGCGTGCAAGACGAAATCCTTCCAAAAGCTTAGTGTTCGGAGCGATTTCAACATAAAAACATCAAAAAACCAATGGTTTTTCAACAAAAAAAAATGTCAAAATCTCATCCCGCGCGCTCTTGCGGATTCGTAGGAAACCCAACACTTTTTAAACATTTCTGTCAAACGGGCTTTTGCGAGCAACTTTTTCGAACTTCTGCGACAACGGTTGCGCACCTGCCAGGGCCATCATCCCTGTCAAATAATACCATGCGGGACACATTCGTTTTTTTTCTTCGCGCACGCACGCCGTCGTCGTCGGCCGCGGGGCCCTGAATAGTAGCCACGGTCGTCCGCATGCCACGAAGTGAAGTGTCCGAACGTCATAGGGCGGGAAGCTGGGTGTGGGTGGTGGCGAAGAGTCGTTTGGAAATTTGGTAGAGCTTGAACCGGCCCCCCCACAAAGTGGGGGTAGTGCCCGCCTCCTATGAAAAGAACCCTGGCACTGGTGAGAACGGTGTGTCCCCAGTCTTAAAATTGTTGTTGTTGTGTTGTTGTTGTTGGTTGTTGTGGTTGTTGTTTGTGATGGTTGGGGTTGTTGTTGTTTGCTGTGTTGTTGTATTGTTGTGTTGTGTTGTTGGTAGTATGTGGTTGTTGTTGCTTTCTGCTGCGGCTGTTGTTGTCGTTGTTGTTGTTGTTGCTGTTGCTGTTGTTGAAACATTATTAATTCTAAAGAATAATTATTGTTGGGACCCCTGGTGCACGGCCCCCCTGCGCCGCCTAGGCCGCAGCTACATTTTCATCATTTTCGTGAGGAAGCCTCAGGTAATACGATGTCATCAAGATCCGGTTGTTTTGGTGTAATCCGTTTTCCCTTGCAAAAAACACTATAAAATGACATTTCTTGTTCTAATATAATCAAATTTCAAGAATCCCTTGCAAAAAATAAGGTAAAGTGGACATTCGCGCGCGCAAGACGAAATCCTTCCAAAAGCTTAGTGTTCGCAGCGATTTTAACATAAAAACATCAAAAAACCAATGGTTTTTTCAACAAAAAAATGTCAAAATCTCATCCCGCGCGCTCTTGCGGATTCGTAGGAAACCAACACTTTTTAAACATTTCTGTCAAACGGGCTTTTGCGAGCAACTTTTTCGAACTTCTGCGACAACGGTTGCGCACCTGCCAGGGCCATCATCCCTGTCAAATAATACCATGCGGGACACATTCGTTTTTTCTTCGCGCGCCCCGAATAAGTGACCAAGTTCTGTGGGTGTGTACCCCACGCCAGTGTAGTAGCCACGGTCGTCCGCACGCCACGAAGTGAAGTGTCCCAACGTCATAGGGCGGGAAGCTGGGTTTGGGTGGTCGCGAAGAGTCGTTTGGATTTTTGGTAGAGCTTGTAATGCCCCCCCACGAAGTGGGGGTATTGCCTGGTGTCGTATGAAAACCCTGGCACTGGGGAGAACACCACGCGTTCGGGAAAAATGATTGTTGTTGTTGTTGTTGTTATTATTAGTGTTGTTGCTATTGTTGCCTTTGTTGTTAGTGTTGTTGTTTTTTTGTGTTGTTGTGTTTTGTTGTTATGGCTGTTGCTGTTTTTGTTTTCGTTTATTCTTCTTCTAATCTCCTCCTCCTCCCGCGCCCGAAATGCAACATTGGAAACTTGACTTTTTTTGTACTGGCGCAGATGCTGCAGGAAACACCTCAAGCCTCGCAGACTGGTGGCCCACTCCAAAAGGGAGCCGGCGAACCTCCACACGTTCGAGCACGTAGCAGGATGAGGAGGAGGAGGAGGAGGAGGGAG